TCCAGCTCCGATGCACAGTGGCTGTGTCCTGAGGACTGCTAGGTGGCAGTGGCAGCTGCTACAGGACACTTTCTGGGTTACTGTTTGTTTTGCCAATTGACGGGGTTAGCATGAAGGACACAGGCACCAAATTAAAAAAAAAGTGAACTTATTTTACTTATGTTTAAAGTGATAAAATAATGAGAAAAATAATACAGTGAAAATAAATTAAAGCAAGATAAGGTAAAGCAGCAAAATAATAAGCAAACTACTATAGCAAGCAGAAAGTAAGGTAATGCACCTAATCATTACTACATAGAGTTAGCAATAGTGATTAAGAAAGATACATCACCAACTGCTCTATTAATACATTACCATCATCCAGATCCGCAGTTGCTGGGGAGCCCAGTTACAGCGAAGGATTTGGAGAGAACCCTTCCCGGCAATTGGGAAATCTCTATTCAGTGCGTCCACTGTATAGATGAGGCTTCCAAATTTCCCTGCAAACGGTCCTTGCTTTTATACAGTTGAATAAACAACTTTCTATCTTAAACTGTGAAAGCCATCTGGTGTGGTTTTCTCCTAGTTAACCTCTGTCTGGAGCCTGGCCAGGGCAGGAGAGGGGAGATAACAAGAACAAAGAATCTACTAATCTTGTTTATGTATCTCAACAAAGCTTGTCAAGACTTGCCACATGCCTTTGCCGTCTGTGGTGATAGGGTACATCCGTGCTTAATTTTGGCTACTGTTAAGCAATTGGCATCTTTCTGCTGGCTAACCTTACACAAGGAGTTATAGCAAAGCTCTGTAAGTGTTACAACAAAATTTTTACAAACTACTCGCGTATAGGTAATAGATTGCATAAGTGATCTATATTATACATATTAGATGTATTGTGAGGTAGTACATGGCATATGTGATCAATATTATACGTATTAGATACATTGTTAGGTTGTGAGGTTCATCTAGGGGTCAACTTTGGTTCAGGGCCTCACTGCTCAGGCCCTGGTATTTCACTGTTACTGAAGAAGAGAACAGCGAGGTGAGTGGGATGTGACAGGAGAAGCTGTCCCCTGATTTGAAAGATAAAACAAGGGTCCACCAATTAAGAGAGTTCACAGTCTCTTTTCTGCCCTAAGGGCTCTGGCAGCCCACCCCTCCCTTTGCACATGCAACTCCCACAGGCTGTGGGCCACAGTCCTTGGCAAGTGCTTTGGCAGCACAAGGTGTGTGTGAAGTTTGGGCTGCTCTGCAATATTGCAAAGGCTTTGGATTGGTACGTGCACTGGTGAATGTTGCTGTTACTGGAGCAGAATGGGGTAATCAGACTGTCTGCCCTTTCCTGGGCTGGGTTTTTATTCTCTCTCTTTTTTTTAGCTTCCTTTGGGGAAGCTATGGTTCTCATGAGCAAAACCTTTCCTGGTGGTACCTTGCTTTTTCCCTTTTGCCCAGGGAATCTCTACGTAGTCTTCAGAGGATAGAGGTCTGCTGCTTAGCTCTCCTGGCTGCCTGCTTTTGATGGGTCTAGTAGCTTGGATGCTGCTGGTTCTGGAACCACAGAAGACACTGGTCCATGGGCCTCCACTGCTGAGTGTCTACATGCCCTTGGAAAGGGAATTAGAGTTGTCTGAACTAAGATGGAAAAGATACTCGCTGGGCAGCTTTCAACAGCAGCACTGCAGTAGGCTAACGACAGAGCAGAACCACAGACTAACAGAGCAATGAAGAAAGTCTATTTTATGGCTGCCTTTAGTCTATCTTGGCCTGAGCAGCTATTGCTGCATTGTCCACAGAGTAGTGACAGACAGCAAGCAGAATCCCATGCTACCCTTCCCAGCATCTCAGCACTGAGCAGACCAGAACATCTACTTGCTGAGCTCAGCTAAGGCTTTGTAAAGATGTAGTATTTTTTTCATGGAGTTGAAGCTAAAGGTACTTGTGTGTGCTGATGCTCAAGTGTTGCCACTGCTTGGACTTGCTTGGAATTGCACCTAATGTGCCTGCCCTCATCCTCCCTTCCAGCCATGGTGGAAGCGTTGGAAGGGCATGTACTACCCCTCCCATTCGTGAGTAGGTGCTTGGCTGCCTTTCAGGGTTGCCGCCTTCTGGAGTCGGTGTTCTCAGGGCAGAATCAGACCTTTCTTGTTCTGTTCTTGTTCTGTATGTGCTCCAGCAAAAAGGGTCACCCTACCCCATCATGGATCACCTGTGGGGACAGAGAATCACCTTAAAGCAGAGGGACTATACCAGCTGAAAACCTGGCTCCACCTGGGACTGTAAGTATACTAGGTAAGGGGGTGATGCCTTTTGAATTGGAGGCATTGCTAATCTTTAGGGTGAAGAACAAGCTTTCTCTGTGGTACCCCAAGAATCCTCTGCAAAGGCCATAAGGGAGGAAAGAGCCACTACTTCCTTGCACAGAGCAATTTCATCTTCACATGCTTTTATGTCCTCTGGGAACTGTGAGGCAAACTGTTTCTAAAATTGATGCAGCATGTAAAGGAAGCTGGCTCACTGATGACAGTGACTGAAGTCTCTGCAGGGTCTAAAAGGGTTCCCAGAAGCCGTGGCTGTGCTTTGAAGCATCTTCAGAGCCTTGAGCTGCCTCTTTTAATGGATGCTCACAGCCAGGGACAGTGCTATGCTTCACTTTCAGTCCTGCTGGAAAGCAAGCCTGTCATGGAAGGGGTGGAACCTGAAACCCCCCCACCATGCACCCAGGTTCCTTTATTTCCTCTTGGGGCAGTGCTAATTGCAATGCACCCTCCCACTGCTGGACCTGGTCCCTGCTGCCCCAGCCTGGAGGGCTGCGCTGGTGAAGCACGGTGTCAGCCGTAACCTGCCAAAAGCAAGTCCCGTCGTACTGCCTGGTTTTGACCTGTGCCCAGCTCACCCTCTGCAGTCCTCCCAGCAACTGCTCTAATAAAGACACTTAGACTCTGGAAGGGCATTTCTGTGTTCACAGAGCAGGCTGGGGCCAAGGTTTTGGTCCAGTCAGGTGCAAGTAGCTCCCAGTGAGGGCTGTGGGCCACTGCTGGTGC